ACTTATCGACCAGATGGTCTGGATTGATACTCAAAGCCACAGCACATTGGCGAACACCAGGGTCGTCCGAGTCTTCTTTATCACCAGCATAATGATTGACTATTGAGCTGTTTATGTTCCACATTGTGTGCGACCCAGAAAGTCCCAACGATAAGTTCTGAAGGCCTTCTTTGGCATGTCCAGGGGGATAGCGCTTTCGTGCAGCGCCTTCGAAGTTCATATTAGCTCCCATATCACCTTCAACAATTTGCATCCACTTTCCAAATTTGAAACTTTCAACACCAAGCTGTTTGAGTATTTGCTCCATCAACTGGCCAATCCCAGTTGCCGAGTTATCTGATGCATTCATCATCTTAAACATGGTCAATTTTGGATCATACATCTGGATTGGATCAACTTCAGGTGGCGAGGTGACTAATCTTTACTTCCCGTCTCAAGACAATGTTCCAAGAACGCTGTTGAGATCTGTGACTTCTGTACAAGTTCGAAGTGTTCTTCTTCTTTCTTTGTAGGTAACAATGAATCCAATTCAACTGGCTGACTTTTACTTCTCTCCATCGCTTTGAGAAAGATGTTCAGATCTAATTCGTCGGGTGTCATCCCACGTGTTAGATGTTCAGGAACTTCGTGGAGGTAGCCCCATGTCCCATGAAACATTCTTGAGTTCGCATCAACTTTCTTGTCATGGATCCGTGCTTCGATATCGATGTTGTCAACACACCACAAAGGTCGGATCTTATAGTCTTTTGACCCAAGATCTTTAATCTTCTTCTCGGTCGAAGTTTTCAGTGTATCCATCACATCAAGAGCAGTTGCACGTGATGATGTCAATCCTAAGAAGTGCAGGTAGTCATTAACTTTTTGTGTGACACCGCATGACAAGAACGTCATCGCATTCTGAAGTTGTAAACCCGAGTGTTGACGATTGCAACAAAATGCTAGCATTGAGCACAGCATTACGGGCAACTGAAAAAGGTAGAACCAGTTGAGTGTCAACAACTGATGCATCAATTAAAGAAATATCACATACCTTCTTGATTCTGTGCTGTTCGAGTTGTCTGATTGTTTGGCCCATGACGGTCGCTGGTTCAAAAGATTCTAATTCTGCAGGATCCTCCGAAGTGGTCAAATTAATATCTTCAGGATCTGTATCATCCTGATTTCTAGAAGATCTTCTTTTGTCTTGCTTTGATGCCGCATGTTCAAGTTTTGATGAAATGATCGAGTGTAAGAATGACATGTTTTCTGCCACCAATCACTACGCCAGATCACTAATTTACCGCTGAGTTCAGAAAATTGAAACTGTAGAAAAATATCACCAATACAGGGGAGGTCAGAAAAATTTGAAAAAATAATGATTCAATTCATGGGTGCTGTCCCCTCATTTTGCATATTTTTGCATATTTTTGCCATGATTTTTGAAGTCTCCCCAAACCAAAATGCTCACAGGGGATATTATGTCAGAAACTCAAATTTGGTCCAAAACTAGCAATATTTGGGCAAAAACCTCCAAGCACAAAAATATGAGTAATTTTGTTCAATCATCTGAACACTTGCAATTTATGGAAGCCGCATGATGTCTCTACAAGGTTTATTAAGGTGCTGAAGCCATTGTAGTTATGACTTCTATGCTTATATATGGTTTCTGCTGTGTACGTTGTGGTAATCAAAATATGAGACCAATCAAAAAAATCAAAAAAAATCGAATTTTGAATTACATCAATTATATTACATATAGTTTAATATTTACATCATTTTATCATTCAAACAAACTTATCAAGATAAGTATAAACTATTAACAAACAGATTACAAAAAGAAAGAAAGAAAAAAACATAAGAAAAACTCGAAAATAGAGGTATACAGGTTGGAAATGGTTTTTAGGGTAGTAATATTAGGTTTATGGGTTTAGTAGGGTTGGAATACGAAAGAGGAGCATTGTTTTAGTCAGCAACAACTTTAATCTTGGTGGTTGATAAGAGAAAATAGAAGTTATTAAGGAAATGGGAAAAAGTCGAAATTGGTAAACAAGGGTTTACAGGTAGTTTTACATATGTAACAGTAGTATTAGTAATGAATAAAGTTGCCAAGGGTGTTTTTAGGGATTTTCACGGTTGGAGATTACTGTGTAATGTTACAGAAGGCAAGAAAGGCTTAGTAAAAGGTGTGAAAAGTGAAGAAAATAGGTGAAAATAGTCGAAAATGAAGGTTTTCAGCTGATTACATGTGTCAAATGACGTCAGAACATGATAAGTAATAGCTCATTCGACGCAGAATCATCAAATTCATAATGTACAATCTCTAAATCATTAGTAACAGAGGTGTATGACAAAAGTTATAAGGAATCAAAGGATTTGATTACACATCAACAAGATCACAAATCATTAATAACAAGCAATTACATCATTGAAATGCTGAATCATCATAAGATCAAATCAATATTCATTCTAGAACATTCAGAACACAGCATATACACAGCATATACACAGCATTTGATCATAAGAATAGAGATTAGTCATGTTTTACTGGTCAAATTAGTAATAAATCTTATCAGATGATGAATAGAAGATCACATTACATCATAATAATGATCATAATGGGTTGATGAGGTACTGATGGCGAAATTTAGGAATGTAGAGAGTGGTTGAATCATTGGATCAAAGCTGTTTACCAGCATTTTAGTCATCTTTTGGTTTTTTAGATGGTAAAGAGGATTTTTTAAGAGCTGTTTACCACTTTAACAATTTGTATTGATGTGTTCATAAACTTGTGTCTTTTGTGCGAAATTATGTTTCCTTTCTTCTTCATCTCTTACATAGCATTAATCATTTTTATCATTATAAACTTATTAGAGCAGTACTAGGTCACTCAAATCAGCCCTTCATCAGAAGAGAAATTTGTTTTATGTGCTTTATATGACACTGTCATTCTGGAATAATATCAAAAAGATATTGAGCTTATTTTTCAACATTTTGACTCGACTGGAATAACACTTTAAATGTGTTGAGCTTATTTCTCTGGTGCTTTTTATCAAGATACTTTTCTCTTATTATCAAAGACCTGGTTATATTTCTCTGTTATCAGGAGACTTTAACAACAAAGTCCAGTTTGTTAAAGATTCTCAGAAAGAGCAGTCTCAGACACCTTCTTTAGATCTATTATATCTTCAGATTATCCTCTTTCAAAGCACTGTATAGCCCTTGTTGTGCTATAAGTACTACAACGTCTCTTGATATATCTCACCCATTATTGGAGACACACAGCTTTTTTGTGCACACAAACTGTAGATCAAGAATGTGGAATTCAGAATGTCAAGACATTACATGTGTTGGAGAAAAATTGATGATTTTGTTGGTGTTGCAAGGTCACTGTCTCTCTACCTGCCAGTTTTGGACCAAAATTGGGTTTCTGACATTATTTGCATTGTGGTTGTAAAAATATGAAAAAATATGCCAGATGATTGGAATGCACCAAAGGGCCCAACCAATATTTTTTCATATTTTTCTGACCCCTCCCAGATTTTCCATAATTTTCTATGTCTTCTCAATTTTCTAAACTCAGCGGTAAATTTTCAATTTGGCGTAGTGAATCCATCTCTGAGTTCCTCATTATCTTGCGAAAAGAAATCATGCGTGATGTTCTGGGAATTATAAAACATTCCGAGGGGAGGTTCGCCACTTCGTAAGTCCTCTCGTATCACAAGTTCCTTGGCCTTCAACATCCGAGAAAAACCTGGTTAGTATGGAAGTAAACTAGAGTGTCTTTGAGATGCCATCATACTCATTTCACTCACCTCTTGCAGGATGAACGATGCCCATCGTTCCTTTCCACTAACATTATCTTTACATATCAATCGTTTGAAACCATCCAATACTTTGTTTGTCGAGACCCAGCCATATTGTGTGCCCCAGGATCCGCGCCTGTGAGCCACTGTTGGGTCTGTCGAGCTCAGCATGCCTTGTATAAATTTTTTACTATCTAAACCAACTGCGGTGAGGTCGTTGCACGTTTTAATGAGCTTTTCAGCTAGTGAACTAGTGGGAGCTTTGGTTTGTTTTTGAATCAAACTTGACATTCTGACGTCGATTCTTCGTACGGATTGGTAACTTTGGTCTATTTACCTTCCCTTTCCCAATCTCCCTTGTTGACCTTTCATTGCTTACTGATCAACTTGATCAAGGATCGCAGACGTTGAAATTTGAGATCATCTCGTATGTCTCTGTGACAATCTCGCAGCAAGCTCAAATTTCAAAAAATGAAATGATCACGTTTGGAACATTGAGAAAAAAAATACAAAATGAGAGAAATAGAGAAAGTAAATAGACAGAAAGAAAGGGAAGAAGCAGGCGCTGTACGACTGCCGTTTTTTTCCGAGGTAAAGTTTGGGCAAAGGTGGTGGAAATTGAGATTCTAGATTCCCTCTACTAGAATCTCAATCTATCCACGCCAAAAGCCTGACCTACCGTGTAAGTCCCTCGTGCCTCGGTCATCGCTCGCGATGTAAAAACCCCGGTACGAGATTGGACTTAGTTAAGTTTGATCATTTCAGAGGTAACCAAGAGCATATGAAAATGTTTTTTTCTGCACCAAGAAAGTGATGAATCTTATGTGTACAAAAGGCGTAGAAGTATGTCTCAAATTGATTGGAATCTCCTTCAGCAATTGCATATGCATACATGGTCTTCATGGAGGTCAGTTAATCCCGAGGAGTCTTGTTGAAAGGAATAGCCCTGCCTGGAAAAGTGATAAACTCATATTAAGCGGCGATTGTTAATCAAGATAATTTCACAAAATGGGATTTAGCTTCTATGGGTATCACTGTTCCAAAGCTCTAAGAGTGAGGTGGAGCACGAGGATTTGTTGAAAAAAAGCAAATCCTAATTTGAATGAAGATTAAAAATTTGAAATTTAGCTATTTACAGCACAGATGAGAATAAATGAAGGGTACAAATTAAATCAAATGAGAACGATCAGGTGAAAAAGATCAGGTCAAAACAAATATACATGAATGGAATAAAAAGCAAACATAATGAGTGAAATGAGAGTGATCACATGGAGAACTTTTTACCAGTTCTGCCTTTGAGAGACTTGATATACTCTTTGCTAGCCTTTTTCAAACATCTTCCAAGATCCTCAGCCACCACATTTTCATCAAGGTCATGACGTAAAGCAACGTCTTCGGGAACCCATTCCCGGAAAGAACGGATGAGTTCAGATATCATGGCTGGTGTGGGTATATAGGATGGGGTCTGATAATGGTCCGATTGAGGCTTGGCAGGGAATGAAGAGCGATCAAGTTGGGAGCAAACCGAATAAAGATGAGCCAAGATAGGCTGAAAGACATTCGGACGGGATTTTTGAACATTGAAGATGTTCACAGAGGTTTCTTCGCGGTCTTGACCGGATGTAGCCATCGCGGTAGCATCCTCAGTGACCTCGGTGACCTCTTGGGTCTCTTGAGTCTCTTCAGTGACGGGGAAGTCTTGCGGTACCTCTGGTTGAGCTTTTCGACGTCTGAATCGGTTCTTCAAACTCTGTTTTTTCTTTTTTGCCTTCACCGGCTTGTTTCCCCGATTATTGGCGCGAGCAAGCGTGCCAACCTTACGAGCACCTGGATCGGCAAGTCAATGTTTAGCGTGTCTGATGATCGCGAGCACTAAAAAAACTGCTGGAAGATGAACTCACCATTGACTTGTAAGGTAAAGTACACAAGGTTGATCTCGAATAGAAATAAGGGCACAATACAGAAGAAATCGCTGGAAGGATGGGACACCCATATTAGCTCATTGTCTTTTTGAGTATTTTCTCAAGAAAATTTGCTTACATAGCAGCTGTGACTGGTAACAAGAAGGCAGAACTGGGGAAAAAAGTCAAGCTCAGTCGACTTTCATGGAACCGATGATTTATGGAGCGTAGAATATATTGGTAAATCATGGTCTCACATTGTGGTCTTCACGACAGCCCGCTTTCGCGTCATGTTGAGAATCTTGTCGAGTCCATCTTTGATTTCCTCTGCGGTACGAGGCGGTGCATCACGGCGAACTTCGTCTATTTCATGAGGGTAGACGATAGTGACCTACATAAGTATGAAAAAACTGTCAGATGAGCTAAAAGATAATTCAGATATTTGAGTTTTACATACGTATCCAATCTTCTTTCCAGGTGGAAGACGACCAAGAGTTTCAATGTTGCTGTCAGGTAACCACTTGATGAGTCTCGTCGCAGTCTGTAAATAATTACAATGCGTGTTACTTATTAAGAAAAGAGAGGATTTGAATCTCATGGGACTTACCCTAGTAGCACCTCCCTTGAATCTTTGCCAACCAGATGGCTCTTTGAGTTTGCCTTTCTTGATGTCGGCTCCCTCTTGGACTTCCTCCTGCCACTTGCGCTCTACCTTTTTGATAAGCCCTTCTTTGCCGCGCTTCCCATCTGGACCGACTGGAGGCTTTTGATACCCCGCTCGAGGAAAAGAGCTGTGTACACGGTGATAAGATGAGATTGTCAGATGAAGGAACCGTTATCAACACACCACGGAAACGCGCTAGAGCTTACTATAGTAAGAAAAGAGGTGTCTTTTTGGTGCGCTGAACATGAGGCGCGGGTTCTGGAAAAGGGATTGCGAAAAGGATGCTCGGTAAGGGACCCTTAGTCGCTGCAAGATCAAGACCTTGGTTTGCTGAGGTGTTCCCCGAAGCGGGACGATCGACATCCATGGAACGCATTCGACTTTGCTCTCCCTGAGATTCTGAAGCTAGTTGCGACTTTTTAGGGTGTTTTGGAGGGGGCGGAAAGTAATTTGGAACAGGAATCGAGGAATAATCGATGGTCTCGGGCACGCTTCTCTTGGGGTCTGGACCGCTCGTTCGTTGTTCCTCGATCTCGGTCATTGGTAAAGAGGTGCTGGCGTTCATATTGATCAGGATTATAAGGAAGTTTTCAAGTATACAATGTTCGATAGGTAGAAAAGAAATGAGATATGGTGAGGAATATGCCGGGCTTGTTAAAGGGTTAGATCAATATATATGTGATGAAGCGTGGTGATTACCTTCCTCTTTGGTGAACAAATCCTTCAGAGACCAAATCGCAGGGCAGCTACCAGTTTCTATTTGAAATTCATGGGCGCAGTAAAATCTCATAAATCTGGTTTGATCAAGTCACCTAAGATTATGCAACGGATGTTGGCGCGGCTTAAAGCAGAGTAGACTTCGAATTCGCTCCAGTGCATCTGAGCGTGCCTGGTTATCGAATGCAGGCAACGAAGTGAAGTCATGACCAGACCAATATTACAGACAATTGTGCGAAAGGTGACATCGTCGCCACCAGGCGAACGCGGAGCCATGAGCTTGTCGTGGCTCGGGTGACTGATAACTCCACCGGTGGATGAGCTTGGATGACTCATTGAACTTTATTAACAAACCTTACATGAACAGCATGTGTCAGTCTACACAGCGTATCCGCAAGACACGTCTGACTTTTTTTCGCCTTGCCTTCATGTGCCGGCTCTTTTTTGAACGCAGATTGTTCTGCTTCTTGGGCTACGAGAATATTCTGCCAGTCAAGCCTGAGCATGCACTGTATTACTCAGACTCTTGTAGTGCAATCGAGTATGTGTTGTAGACTCACGTGACTTACACGACTGCGGCACAGACTTTCTCACGCTGTTGCTAACAAAACTTTGTCAGATCTCGATTTCGAGATTCCACAACTTTGTGGAATCTTACTATTCTTGTTGCTTATGCGTTTTCTCATTTTTGTCTATTCACTATAGGTACTTAACTATACAACTTTGTGGAATCTTACTATTCTTGTTGCTTATGCGTTTTCTCATTTTTGTCTATTCACTATAGTATGTGCGTGACAAACTGTCACAGGTCGAGATGTGACAGATTGTCACGATATATACGAGTGCACTTCGAGAGTGTGAGAGCATCTGCACCCGGCCGTGCAAAACAGACCGGATTGGTATGACTTCAATTTTGATTTGGACAGCAAATAAGGCTGATTGTGCAATTTGTGTGAAAAACAATAAAACCACAGCATTGTGTGCCATGGATCTCCAGAGAGTATGAGTATGAACCCTTTCAGCTGCAAGGGCAAGGTTGGGGAGTGATGGATGAGGTGGTCTGATTGGTTCTCCAAGGACACCAAACTGTCCAGACATGTTTGAGTCAACAGCCTTGTGTCATGTGGATGGTTCAAAGTGCTGAATTTGGGAGGTACACCAGGGGGTAAATGTCCTCTGGTTATTGAAACATTTTCAGTATTTTGGTGACCAGCATTGACCAGAACCAATAAGAAACATGTTTGGTTGCAACACATCTTTTTGTGATTGAATCTCACCTGATAGTTTAGGGATGCAAATGGGGTTGAATATGTCCCATCAACCCTGGGCCAGCAACGCAGCTGTTGCGCACTGCGCTGCTGGTACGTTGCGGAAATTACACGCCGCACCGTTGCGCAAGCTCTATATAATTGTTGCGGGTCGAGGTGACCCGCAACAAAGTCCTTGAAATTGATGTTTTTTTCTGACCGCAACAGCACTTGTTGCGTTGCGGTCCACAAAAGCGCCGGTTTTTGAGGCTTTTTGGCGCTGTTGCGCTTGTTGCGTTGCGCGACGGGTGAGCCGGCGTGCAACTCGGCTTCTCTATTTCATGTTGCGGTGCTAGGAGCAACGTAACACAGGTTGTGGCCTGTATGCTACGTGTTGCAGATCAGCGCAGCCGGAAAAGCCTTTGTTGCGCCGTGCTGCGTTGCTGGCACAGGGTTGGTCCCATCTGAAAACATATCAGAAATGTGTCAACTGAAATAAAAATGGCATGTTTCTGAAACATCTCAAAAACAATTTGGGTGCAGTGACTTTTACCCCCTGGTGTATATACAGGACAAATATTTCATACCCATTGAGGGGTCCCAGCAATGTACAGCAAAATTTGAGCAAAACAGCCTGATCACCTGAGCACTACCAAAATTGTCAATTGAAGGAATCTGAAGGAATAGGTTGACCTGAGATGTTACAGATGGCATCTGAATAGGGGACCCAGCTTATATGGTTGTTGTGAGGTACGCGTAGCGCAAACTGCAAAGCGGTGGCGCAACAAAAAATGCATTACATCTGTGAGATGCTAAACTAGAATCTAGAACGGAAATGTAAGAGAGAAATAGAAGAGAAAAACATCAGCCCCTATGGGGTGGCCTGTGGCAAAAACTACAACTACCCTTAAACATAACACACTTTCTGAAATGAAAGATATACTATAAAATAAAAAGACAACTCACTTCCTAAAATACAATTATATTATAAAATAAAGCCTTTGGAATGAGTGATAATAATGAGGTAAAAAAGAAACATAATAAGAAATAGTAAACTAAGAGACATGAAAACAGAAAAAGAAACTAATATATGAGAAGATAAGTTTTTTTTTCAAACATAAAAGGTGGGGGTGGGTGGGAAATTGAAAAGTCAGAAAAATAAACTCAATTGATAGTATTGTATCTGTATTGACAGATGATGATGATGTGGGAGAAGAGATAGATGGAGTGGGAGGAAACACAGAGGTCAAGTAAACCTCTGTATTGTGTTCAACCTAACCAAAACATGGTTAGACCACAATAGTTTTCCTTCTGCTCTCTACTGGGAAACAAGCTCAGTTATATGAGCTGTTTCTGGAAACAATTGTGAGTATTCATTTGCTCTGCCTTCTCTTTTTGCATCTCTGTGTTACCTATTCAACTTGGTTAATAGAGCACCAACCACGAAGAAAACAATCCTTTTTGGAGAATTCAGGAAAGTGTACAATGCTCACCTGTATGCAAGCATTGATCTTGGCCCCTGTGATGTGTGGATATAGATCAGCATGAGCCCTGCTTGCTTGGGAGCGGGGACAAGCAAGAATCTACCCCAAGCACTTTTTGAAAATGCTTCCTGGCTTCCAAGCCTCCCCCTCCCCGCCGGGGATCTCTATGTACGTCTTCAGACCGTTCCCTGCCACCAAAAATGGCGGCCCTACCAAAATATTGGTTCCCCATTGAGTGTTAGCCAGTAGAGCCTGCTAGAGCAGAAAATGTTTGTACATTCTTTTTATGAGTGAGTTCCAGCTCATTTTCTCCTTTCTTAGGCAAGTGTTTCAATGTATTTGCCTTCCTATGAACTGTTATTAGGTCTTTCCCACCTTTAAATTCTTGGTATCTGCCCTCAATAGCATACATTTCTGCTATGATTATGGTAGCTTGGTTCCCCAATAAAAACCGGGGATCCTCATACCCCAGCCCAGCTCCTGTTCTGTTGGAGTTGATACGGGGCCGGGGGGGTGAGATAACAAGCCCAAGGCACCGTACCAACGGTACAGAAGCCGGAGATCCCCGAGCATGTGGGTAACGGGGCTCATGCTGAGATATATATAATGAATATGTGTTGTAGAACTTATAACCCGACAAGGGTTATACAGAGCGTGAAGGGGATAGTCTACCAATAAAAGACTAGTAGAAGATGTCTATGGACTGCCCTCCTAAAACAAGACAATAAGAAGGTGAGACTCTGTTGAATTGAGTACTGATAAGGCACCAGAGAAAAGTATCTTTACAGATCCAAAAGCACACAGATTTTAACTCAAAAGCACAATTTAATTTCTCTTAACACTGCTATAGTGTTATTCCAACATGATAACTAAGAAGATAAAGCAATATCTTTTTGATATCATTCCCAATAAGTCTTTTTTACTATAACACTAAAGTAAACTTCTCGGTATGGCTGTAATAAAGGGTGTATTTAAGTGACAAGGTACTGCTAAAATAAGTTTATAATGATAAAAAAAATGATAAATGCGTAGATGATAAAGAAAACAGATGAACAACAATCCCAAAATCATCCATGAGTATATATATTAATGTGTTACTATAGTGCATGGAGGCAAATCGTTGTCAAATTCAAAAGAAGGCCCGAAACAACACTGGGTAAGCTGAGCTATCCGTAGCTCGTGCGCAGCAGTTTTCTGCACCAGCTCCGCTCCCCTGGGAGCGTAGCTCTTTGGATGAGCACACAGTTGCGCTACGGGGCCCGGGAAAAAGTTCATTTTTTAAAACCGCTACGCTCTGGCCAGCAAAGCACCGTTATCCGGCACCGTTAGCTCTTGTGCCGGGGTCAGAGCCCAATTGGGTATGATACATCATCATGTGTGATGGAACATCCAGATTGGGCACTTATGCGCCACCCCCTCTTGCTAAACAATCACAAACCGACGCACATACCCCATCTGGCCTATATACTGTTGCATGAGGCCTAACCCACATGCCAGGGATTTGATGGCCACCCAAATACTGGATTGTGGAACTGGAATCCAAATATATTTGATGGTACGCAAGGCAGGAATTTTCCCTCTCCCTTTTTCATCATCTTCCTCCCTCATTGTTCTCATTTTAATACTATTATTCATCTTATTCATAATACTAATCCTTTTATCCATCGTAATCACCGTTTCTTAAAATCAATTTCTATCATAAATATAGTCTATCATGTCCTCAGTCATCTCTAAACCTCTGTCGCAGACTCGCACACAAACCAGAAACCCTGGAATGATTGCCCCAAGTCCCGATTCACGTCGTCGTATTTCGATCAAAAGCATCATCACAGCCAAGACTCAAACCAAACAAAAGCAAAAGACCAGTTCTACAGTCACAATTGTTACCACTGATGAAGAATCTGGATCCGAAGCAAGCTTGGAATCTCCGATCGTCAAAAAGAAGCAGAAAAGCAAACCTAAGAAGAAGCCATCCAAAGTCAATTAGGTTAGTTACAGTCCTATCTGAATAGTGTCCACTTTTTCTAATATGTTCTCTGTTTCTTACACCTTGAACCACTCCTTGAACCAATAGCATGCGCCCGGAAACGTCATCAGAGAAATTATGCGAGCCGATT